AAGTGAAAAACAAGAGCAGCAAATGAGTCCTGGCTCTCCGCAGCTCCCACGTGCAATTGCAAGGGCCACATCTTCTCTTGAACCCCAGGAAATGCCACGTGGCCCCTCTGCTTTGAAGGTTCGAGAGGTCTGCAAGCGAGAGAATGTCACTGGGACTCAACTCACTTTTTTAAGCTTAGGCTCTGGACAACCCATTGGGACAATTGTACATTGTAGTTAGAGGATTTCAGAAACCACATGACGGATCTCTGCATGAGTTACTGCCGCTGCCAGACATCACAACAGCAATGTAAACCCCACCATGAAAGAAAAGAAACCAGTCTCCCCCTCCACCCTTTTTCAGCTTGTCCTATAGCCCAATTATCTGCAAGCAAAAGCCTGGATGTCCTCCAGCATCCTGCCACAGCTGGAGTACAGCACCTCAAAGTAAAACAAAAAGCCATCAGAACTTTAGGGGCTGCCCCAGCACAGCAGCCCAATCCTCCAGTTAGGTTTTATGGCTGAGAACCTATGCTTGAACCCAAGAGACTTCTATCTCTGCCTTCCCCAAAGGGCAGCATGGTCTTGCTATTTAAGCCATTCTCTAATCAGTCAGGTTTTTCAGCTCTTTACAATGCAAGCTCATTGCAACTGGAAAAACTTGAAGAGAAACATAAGACTGATTGTTCCATCTCCATCAGAGTCGCTCAGTGTTTCAGTCCACACTCTCCAGACCTTGCAGGCATGTGATTTACTCACCTTAAGTCTGCTCTGGTATTTCAACCCAGGTGAAGCACCATGCCTGGTAGGAAGTCGGTGCCCAGGGCTTTCCCATAGCAAGACAAGAAGTGCTATTACAATATCAGAGACACACTTTCATCTCACGGTCTGGGTATCAGCTCCCTGTGCTGTGCTCTTCAAAAGGTCATTGTCCCATCGTAGCAAATTCCTTAAAATCAGCTTGCGTGGGCTCAAAACTGACTCCCAGGAACTCACACACAAGCCAGGGGTGCAGCATCTCCCAGATCAGGAGTCTGGCCCTGGCAGTAGCACGGATCACACATCACCCCTCACTCCTGCTCCAAACATCTCCCCAGCCACAAGGACAGATTTCAGCTTCCTGCTGAAAATAATCTTTCTTGTCTGAGACACTGTTGCCTCTCATGTTCCAGTTCCCTTTCCAGCACTGAAATCTCCTCACTTTGGCTTCCACAGACATGCAAACATGCAGCCAAAAGGCCACTGCAGTCTCAGGAATCACCAGTTTCCAGCTTCCATGAACTAGATGATGACCTTGTACAGTCAGACGCGTTTTAAGCAGAGAAACAGCATCTTGTTACAGCTTAGGCAACACCCTGAGCATTGAGCCACAAAACCCAGCAGTTCAGTGTAAGCAACCCACTCTGTACCCCCCTGGAGCAACCATCAGCTACATCTGGATTCTGTTTTCACCAGCTTACATCCCAAAATCTTGGGTCAACAGCTGGAACCTTTGCAACAATGAGAGAAAAAAATGCGAATGTGGCTTTGGAAGGGGAAGACTGTTGAAATGGAATAATCCCCTCCATCCAGGGCTTTGAAGCTACAAGGAGTGACCTTTCTTTCACTCCCCGTGGAATTAATACAGAAAACCCCCCCAAAACCACCCTGTTTTGTTAAGCTGAGTACCACAGAGGTAAGTTGGCAGGAGTGTGATGCGCAAACCACCCCTGCTGCAGAGGTCTCCTCCTCAAAACCACCAACTGCTCTTCTCTTCCACACTCTGCATTTCCAGGTGCCCCACAGCCCCAGATGCATCAGGAGCTGCACACACAGCTGTGGCTACCAGCTCTGTAACAGTATGGAGAACCTTCATGCCTTATTTATTTATAATGGAAAGCAGTTGTCTAATAAAATAAAATAAATAAAAATGAACAACAACAGCAAGAGAAGCGTTGTTGATTTCCTGGGAGCGTTCACCACCCGCTGACTTGGCACTTGTAGCAGTGTTGGTTTAAACCAGGCAGTGTTTGCCCTGCAGTCAGTTGGTGCTGCAAAGGTGTGGGAAGGGAATCACCCTCACTTTCTGTTTTAAACAATCTCACGTGGATCAGCATCACTGTTAAGTGCGCAACACATTAAATATATTTTTAAATGCTCTATTCTCCTCTCAAATACAGAGAAACGCTGATTTTCTCACAGCTCTTACACTTCTTTTTACTTTTACGAACAGCACAAGAGTTAATTCTTTGATTTTCAAGTACAATTTGGGTCGAGAAAGTGCTTCAGGCACCCTTGCAGAAAGGAAAGAGAATATGCTGAACTATTCTGCTGAATTATTTATATAACACACATTTTTGTGCACTTGGACTGCCAACACTGCCACGCGATCAAACCTCTCTTTTGTCAGCTCGGAAGTCTCTGTAAAACCACACAATTTCTAAGCTCCCAATTCAAATCCTATTTTTCTTTTGACCTTTTTTGCAAACCACAAATGCAAAAATGACTGATGTAAGTAACATGATATTAGTACTCGGCTTGACAAAGGCACAGCTGCCGTGTATCAGCAGCATGTTCAGCAAAGTGCTGAGGGCAATTTTCTTCTGCCTCCAAAAATATTAGTGGCCATATATACATGTCCTGATTGACTGTGTGAGTCAGAATCACTTGATTCCTGCCTTAAATGAGGCTTTCCATGAAAAGAAAATAAGCATCTTCTGGCCTTTTGTGCCACCTTTGATCTAAACTTTTCCAATTGCTTTCGGAACACCAAGGGAAGCTACACAACTCCACTGAGAGGGCACAAGAGAGTGCTGAGCAACCACTCTGCCAGAGAAGCTGGTGTAGCAGAGAGCAGCAGCTGCTTAACAGCACACCCCCATGGTTCACGACAGAAAGGAAAATTGCTGCATGCAATTAAAATGGATGAGGAAAAGTATGTCGTCACAGGAAATAACTCTTAATTTCAGAATCTGGCAAAACCAGTGACCTTATTCGGCTCACAGCATTAAGATCAGTAAGGGCACAGCTTGTCAACTGTCTGGTTCCATGCTGAATTTGAAAGCTGGCATTGATGTGCAGTTCCATCAGATCTGGCCTGGCTTCTCACCAGCTGGAATAACGCTTCAGAAGGGCACCTGTTGTTATAAACAGGGAGGGGCCACTTGAAGCACAAATTCAAGGGATTTACAGAGCTCGAGCTCCCCACAGGAAGGATTCAGCATCTTCCCTTTCTTACAGCAACTGAGACCTTCGGGAAGGCCCCTCAAGCCCTGAGGGACTTTGCTGATCCATTAACAGCCTGTGCCCTCACTCACAAGGAGTGACTGCATCCTTGGACTCTCAGCCTTCCCCTCAGGTGTCTGAGATGGCTCTTGACAGCTTTTGCTCACCACTGACCACCAAGGGGCTGAGGTGGCTTCCTCAGGCAGGGCCAGTGACAAAGCAGTTCATTTCTCCAGCAGGAATGCCAAAGGTTTGGCTCTCTTGGCTCACACCAAAGTCAGACCTTGCCATCCCAAGCCCTGCCTTGACAGGGAGAGCAGTTTCCAACCATCCAAGCAGAGATCACCCAGCTTTTTACCAAGGCTCTGTAGACCAACACAGTGTGGGAATGAAGCAAAACCAGACAAATGTCCTTTTAGATTGGTCTGGCTTCACCTGTGTGACCTTCCAGCTCCTTTCCCAGCCCTTCTGAGGCACTGTCCTTGGAGGGTGTTCCTGCACAACCACCAGACACGTTTGACAACAGCTGGTAAATGAGTCATCCTGCCTTGAGTACTGTACCCATCCCTCTGGCTACAAATCACAAATATTTACCTGTTCCCTGTTAGAAATTAAGGTCACCAGATGGCACGGTTTGCCTCTGACAGCTCTGGGTTTTTTCCTTCAAGCATTTTCTTTTCAGCTGAGTTTGGACAAGGGCAGTGGAGCAGAACTCCAGGACTCGGAGGTTCGATTAAAGCAAAGTGAGGAGCCCTCGTGGCCCTGAGCTGCTCAGGTGCAGGGAACCATCCATGTTCAGGACTTGCTCCCTCCAGAGGACTGCGTTCCCTGACTTTAAATGCATTATCTGGATGGAACTCAGCTCAGATCAGTCACACAGTCTGCATCATTTCTGAACACCCATTTTGGCTTTGTCCACAGTTTTAAATAAGAGATTGTCAGCTCCTGTCAAAACACCAGAGCAAATGACAGCCCATCCCTGCCTATGCATTTTCCTGCTGCCAGGAATAGCAATCCCTGCCCCTCTGGAACGCACACCCTTCTTGTCAAGCCAGCCTGACAGCTCCAACAAGAGTAAAAGCTGAAGGATTTCCACAACTGCTTCACTCCCCTGCACCCTACGTCCACTGCTATGTCAGCATTCAAAGAAATAACTGTGCCTATATACACACGCGTGTGTTTGTATGTAACACTTTAACGCTCTTGAGAGGATAAAAATGTGAAAGCTGAAGCACTCCAGGTGAAAAAACGACAGAAAACATTAAAAAGCTGGATGTATTTTCATTTTCAGCCACCACGCAGGTCCGGGACGCGCGGCCACCTCAGCCACCCCTGCCCTCCCTCACGCCCCCAGGACACCCCACATCCCCTTCTTGGCACCCCCCATTAGTGCTGCAGACCCCTCCCCGCCCCACAGACGCCCAGCACGGACATCACACGCTCAAGATCCATCCCACAGCCCCAAAAGAGCCTCTTCACCCCCCTTCATGGCGCCCTTGCTCCCTCCGCCCCGCCCCGGAACGCGACGCGTGGCCGCCGTTTCCGCGGGGACGCCTGGCGGGAGAGCACCGCGGGGCCAACATGGCGACGCACACGCTGTGGGGCCTGTGTCGGCCGCGGCCGGGGCTAGCGCTGCTGTGCGCCCGGTTCTCGCAGTGGCCCGCCGGCGGCACCGAATACCGGAGCTCCCACAGCCTGGACAAGCTGTACCCTCCGCAGCAGGACGGAACGGCCGCCCGCACGACGGTCAGAGGGGCGGGGGGAAAGAGGAAGCCGGCGAGGGACGGCGTCTGGGCGGGGTTTAATTGTTGATTGACAGCTGGCCGGCGAGGTTTAGTTCATGGGTTATTCTTGGATGGGCGGGGTCATAGCAGGGGGCGGTGCCAATTGGGCGGGCGGGGTCAGCACGCGGGTGGTAATACGGTGGGCGGGGTCAAGCCGAGGGGCGGGGCTTAGCGCTGCATTGGCTGTGGCGGAGCTGAACAGGCGGGGCCGCCGCTGGTGGGCGGGGCCGCCGCTGGTGGGCGGGGCCGCCGCTGGTGGGCGGGGCCGGCCGAGGGACCCCGGGATCCCCCACGCGGGTGTTAATACGGTGGGCGGGGTCAAGCCGAGGGGCGGGGCTTAGCGCTGCATTGGCTGTGGCGGAGCTGAACAGGCGGGGCCGCCGCTGGTGGGCGGGGCCGGCCCCACCCCGCGTCCCCGGTCGGGGCCGGCCGAGGGACCCCGGGATCCCCCCCGACCCCCGGGGCCCCCCGACACCGCTCCCGATGTGTCTTCCAGGAGGAGCTGCGGCCGCGCGCCCTCGACATCCCCATGGGTGAGGCCCCCCCGCCCAGCACAGCCGTGCCGGGAGCCGGGCAGCCCCCCGGGCACCGAGTCCGTGCTCCGAGCTCGGCCCCGTTTGGCTCGGCCCCGTCCCGCTCAGCCCCTGCCCCTCTCTTCCAGCTCGCCTGACCGTGTCCTACAGCCGGAGCAGCGGCCCCGGCGGGCAGAACGTTAATAAAGGTGAGGAGCAGCTTCTCCCTCGGAAAAATCACCATTTTCAGTTGCTTTTCTGTACCGTGTGGTAAAATATTGAGAACTTGAAGTTAAACAGCGTCTTCATGCTGCTGGACACTTATTTTTCATTGTCATCACCCTGCATTTTAACACAGCTTCTGAGTCTTCAGAGTGCTGGAGAGCAGCAATGACACGTTTGATGCTCCTGGGAACAGTTCAGGGATCGTTCCTGCTGCAGGTGTCACAAGGAACACCACCTCTATCCATAGATCAGTATAACAGAGCCAACTGGACTCTGAAAGTTCACTCTGCAATAAATTCTCAGCTTAATTCAAATAAACTTAAAATACTGCCATTAGAAATGAGGTAGGCAGTGGCTGGCAATAAATTCTGTAGTGTCTAGAAAGGCAAATACCACCACAGGTACAAGTTTGTCTTGTAGAGTGGTGTGTAAAAATACAGCGAGAAAAGAATTGTGACCTTTCAGGAAATTCATCATGGAATTATCCCATGTTGAAAGCCAGCAGAGATCAGGCTGAGTGACCTCATAGATGTGAGGAAGGCAGGCTGTGACATGGAAACAAAGAGCCTGTTTTCCCTCCCAGTGAACTCCAAGGCAGAGGTTCGGTTCCACCTGGCATCGGCCGACTGGATTCCCGAAGCTGTGAGACAAAGAATGGCTCTGATGGTACCAACCCTCCCCTTCCCACCACGGCGTCAGAGCCTCGGTGTCAGAACGTGGCAGTTCCAGCGAGGTTCCAGTGGCCACATCACGTTTTCCCGTCCCTTCAGCACAGGAATAGGATAAACCGGGCCGGTGAGCTGATTGTGACCTCGGAGGAGAGTCGCTACCAAATGAGGAATCTGGCGATTTGTCTGGAGAAAATCCGGACCATGGTCACGGAGGCGACTGAGAAACCCAAGGTGGTGTCTAAGGAGACAACGCAGAAACTCATAGAGAGGTATCTCCATTTAAATGCTCTTTATTCATATTTATTATCATGTTACACAATTTAGTTTGCAGCATTTTTAAACCATTTTGGTCATACTCCTTTAAATTTCCTTTTTTAAGGAATATCACTGATCCGTTAGATTTTAACTGCTTTGCTGGGTAATATCCCCAGAACAGGGACTGGTTTTTTTCTGTCTGAGGATGTTTGTTAGTTCATCAGATCTCAAAAGTTGAATATTTAAATGCTTTCTTTGTACACTGAGGGATCTTTTGATTTTTGTTTTAGGGTGGAAAAAATGAACCGTGAACGGCTACGACAGAAGAAAATACACTCAACCATAAAACAGAGCAGGAAGGCAGATTTCGACTGAGAGCAGCAGAGATCCAAGCCCTTGGCATTCCATCTTCCTAAAGAAGTGGTGTTGGCAGCTGTTAATGATGCTAAACTCATGAGCTGTATTGAATAAAAATAGCCTGAAAGTGTAAATAAATGTATTTAGCATCTCCTTTTGTAGGCAGTGATACACAGTCATGGCCTGTGAATCATTTTTCAGAATAACTATTGTTCACATTTGAGAGGAGCTAAAACTTTTGATTTTTGTCAGCTGCTCCTTTTTTTAACGTTGTTTATGTTATGTTCTTCAAGCAGCCTTTGCTCCATCAGAGCCCCCTCTTCTGCTGAACACAAAGCTACTGTAGATTTTTGGGAAAAGAAAGGGAAGAGTACAAGCAGTCTCAACAACACATCTAAGTAGAAAATAGAATCTTAAAGCATTAAGTTTGGAAAAGACCTCAAGGATCATCAAGTCCATCCCTTAGAGTATCCCCTATTTCTTTCCTTCTATTTCCTTCCTTTCAGCTTTATTCCTTTTGTTGATTTTTATCTAACCAAACAGAGCACATAATTTAGTTAAGCTAAAGCCACATCAGGAATCTGGCAGAAATCTCAACAGTAGGAGACAGAACCCACCCTGTGAGTACAGGAGGCTTCTGGCCTTTGAAGTGGGACACCAGAATCCTTTGGATGAATCCTCCAGGCTCGTTAGTGGACCCTGTTTAAGGAGAATGAAGCTCTGTGCTGTGATGTGTTTCACCACTGCCAAGTGGGATTACTGTGAGGCTCAAAGAAATCAAAATTAGCCCTTTTTTTATGTTTGGCTGGGCCCCAGTGGCCTAATGGATAAGGCACTGGCCTTCTAAGTCAGGGATTGTGGGTTCGAGTCCCACCTGGGGTGGGGAGAGTTGGATCTGTTTTGGGAAAACCCCAAAGAAGAGAGGGAGGTCATCCCTAAGGTTAATTTGGGGCACACAGAGGTATCATTGCCTTTGGGAGTGGAGCTTCGAGCTCTCCCCTGACAGAATATTTCCCTCTGCAAAAACAGCATTCAAAGCCCAGATCCTCCCCAAAATGGAATGCTGGGGGGATGCAGGAGCACCGCAATGCATCCTGTCATCCCAGAAAGCCCTGCCCTGGCCTGTGTGCTCCTGCTCAGTACCAGGAGCATTTCACATTTCACCCCATTTCACATTTTCCCCACCGCAAGGAATCACTGAATCACTCAGGGTGGAAAAGACCTCTGAGATTTATCCAGTCCAACCCAGTAATGCCATGTTCACCTTCAAACCACGTCCCCAGATACCACATCCACACACGTTTTGAACACTTGCAGGGATAGTGAATCCCCCTCTTCCCTGAGCATGGGAGGGGGGTCCCTGCCAGCGCCCCTCTCACAGCCGCAGGTGTCTGAAGCTCCGTGCTGTCCTAACCTGTACAAACAAGGGGATGTCGCTGCTTCCATGTTTTTGTGACACTGAACGTCCTCCCACCATCACCATCCCGGACAGCACCAGCCTCAGCGAGCTCCCCATCCCCAGGAGACCCTGCTGCCAGGATCACCCCCTCCTCGGGGCTCCTTTCCCTCCAATCTGAAGAACTTTGGTCCAAGCAAAGGCGTAAATCCCTGGACGAGCACGTGGCGCGGAGGAGGTGGGCATTTCAGGGATTAAAAGCAGATTGAGAGGTTGAGCCTGGTTTAACACCACGAAAAATGCCTGACTGGCACCAGGAGGGGCGAGACGTGGAGCAGGGAAGCCGCGGGGTGCGGGAAGGGGCGCATCGCGTTCCGCGCGGAGAACCGAACGATCCCGGAGCTTCCCGGGACAGCGCGGCACCCGCGGCAGGGAAAAGAGTCACCCCAGATGGGACTCGAACCCACAATCCCTGGCTTAGGAGGCCAGTGCCTTATCCATTAGGCCACTGGGGCCGCGCAGTGGTATATTTTAGGTGCCGTCACTTAACTCTCTGCTGGCCAGGCGGGCGTGCGGCACTTCCGAGACCACCCCGGCCTGAACAGTCCCCGGAGCGAGGCCGCGCTCCCCTCCCTTCCATCTCCCACCTCCCGGCGCAGCGCAGAAACGCCAACGCGAGTGGGGATGTGGGCGGGGGTGAGATCCCCGCGCAGCCCCCTCCGCCCCACCGGGTGTGAGGTTCCGTGTGCCGGTTCGGGGGGGCAGCGCGGGGGGCGGGGCGCGGGGGAGCTGCCGTGGCCGAGTGGACAAAGCAGCGGTTCCCCAAAGAAACAGGCCGCGGGTTCAAGTCCCGCTTGTGGTATCAGAGGCTGAAGCACCCGCCGCTCCGGCTGGATCCAGCAGCGCTCCGCACAGAGATGCGGGCAGTGGTTGATATTCCCCATCGAAACACACCAAAGTCAGCCTCAGCCGGGCCCCTCAATAACTCTCCTAGCAGTACGAGAAATCTCAGCCTACCTTGTCTCATCCCTTTCCTTTTCCCAAGAAAAGGCCCCAGGTGGGCTTCAGCCCCACCCGCTGCCGCTTCCCAGCCCCGTTTCACCCTCCCCCGAGGGCTACGAATCCCCCCTCATTGGCCGGGAGAAATCTTACTTTAAATCAGCTCAATCTGCCTCTACTACAGGCACCTTTTCTGCAGTTTTGGTCCGTTGAATCCCCACCCCCCTACCAACGGGAAATTGAATGCCTCGAGTACTTCCCGTGGCTCTAAAACAACCACGAAGGGACTCGAACCCTCAATCTTCTGATCCGAAGTCAGACGCCTTATCCATTAGGCCACGTGGTCACGCCCCCAGGTGGGCTGGGTGCCCCCCGACACCCCCTGGGCATCCCCCACTTTCAGTCCATGGCATCCCCCACCTCCATCCCTCCTGGAAGTGTGCCTGGCTTTCCCCACTCAGCCCTGGTGGTTGTTATGAGTAGAAAAGTTGTCCATTTTTTTTAAGTTGTAAAGTTAACAAGTTAAACCAAATGCTGTTGTTAATAACTTCATGTTGTTAATAGTTACCTGTTAACAGTTAAAAATCAGCTCAATTGTCCCCCTGCTGCTTCCCGGAGGATTGACACCTGAAGCTGCAGGTAGCGGTGGGGAGGTGACGTCAGAGCTGTATGCAAATGAGGAAGCCCCCTCACCAAATCTTGCAAAAAAACCCCTAAAAACAACGAGCCACCATGGAATTGAGAGATCTAAGTGATGTCTAAAGGTGAGGAACTTGATCCCGTGTCAGCTGGGATCCTCTTTGCCTCTCACCCTTACCTCAGGATGTCGACTAGAAAGGAGCCCTCGAATGTCAGGCTGACAAGGCAGAATCTCCTAATTTCTCGTGAGGACGGAAGCCCCAGCTCCGCCTGCAGACCAGCGGACACAGCTGCATCCTCCTCCTCCTCCTCCGTGCCCCTCCTGGGAGCAGCGGTGGCGTGGACGTGACCCATGGCTTCTCCCCACTCGTGCTGACTTTTTAAATAAAGGCATAAAAAAGGAGAAAGATCTCCTGCCCTATTTATTTCAGTGATGGGCGTCCCCCCTCTCTGGGACCCCTGTGGCACTAGGTCAGTGCAGATGTCACCGTCACTGTGCCAGCAGTGACAGGCACCACTACAGCAGAACACTACAACACTACTGCAAAAACACCACGGGCCTCAGTAACCCCCTCTTTGTTCTCCTGCTGCAGCCACTTTCCCAAAACCTGTGTTTCCCATCTAATCCCAAAAAAAGCTTCCCTGAAGCCCACCCCAAGAAGGGATTTTAATTGGTGGTGCAGTGCCCAGGGCTTGGGTAGGTCCACTGCTCTCCAGGCAGCAGAACCTCCCACACCTAAGAGAGAAAAACAACTTTAAAAGAAACTTCACTTTGTGTTTTAGTGCTGTGGCACTACCCTGACCACAGCTGCCTTTAACATCCATTAACTCCGCAGGAAAAGACCCTCCAGGCAGCTTTTTAATGCAAGGAGTCTGAGAGGGCATTATCCCAAAGGCACTTATAGGGAGGACTTTGGTCCAGGGCAGCACAGTGACCCTGTGACCCCCCTGCCCGGCCCCTCCTGGAGACGTGGTTTGTGGGGCAGTAAAGCTTCCCGACCACCCCAGCCTGCCCTGCTCCAGGGAGAGGTGCCCCACGCAAGGTGGAATGAACCAGCATCCATGGGCTTTTTGTTGGGGCTCGGGTGCAGCTGATAACACAGGAAGGAGAGAAAAACGCAGCTGAAATTCCCTGAAATCCAGGGAAAATGCAGCTGAAATTCAAGAAAAAGCCAGCTCTGCCCAGACAAAGGTAATTGAACAACTGCAACTGCTCTGCTTTGGTGCCTTCTGGGACACCTTGAAGGATGTCCATGAGCTGGTCAGAGCCATCCTTTCACTAACATGCCTCCAAAAATCAGCCTTTCATTAACACCTCTCCTCTCACCCTCAGGTCCCAAAGCAAAGCTGGTTGTTATCCCCTCGATCACAGCCTCACCTGAGCTCTGGGACCACACAACTCACTGCACAAGACATCCACCTTTGCACCCAAGCCTGGAGCGGTTTGTAGCAGCTCCTCTTTGTTTCCCTTTTCCATGAAACCTAAACAGGGACCACTGGCCGAGAGCAGACAGTCACATCATCCCATCAACAGCAGCTCTTGGCCCATGGAGAGAGCCCGGAGCTGCCATGGGGACTTTGCTGTCCCAAAACACATCATGGACCACCCCGACCTCGCTCTTTGGCTCTGTGTCCAGTGCCGTGCTCGGACAGGACGCTGGTCTATCCTCATCTCCATATCCTCTTCCTCACCTGGCATCTCCCACCCGGATGGGGAATGGAGGAGGAGGAGGAGGAGGAGACCCGGCGGCCTTGAAACGGGGAGAAAGAGCATGGAAACGGGGCTAGCCGAGGCAAAAGGGAGGGCTCACCCCAGGTGGGACTCGAACCCACAATCCCTGGCTTAGGAGGCCAGTGCCTTATCCATTAGGCCACTGGGGCTGCGCAGGGCGCGCGCCCCGGCCCGCGGGAACGGCTCGGACCCCGCGCTGCGGGGGCGTCCCGGGGCCCCCGGCACGGCACGGCGCGGAACAGAGCGGAGCGGAGCGGAGCCACAGCGGGGACCCCCGGCAGCGCCGCCGCCCAGCCTGGCCTCGCGTCCTCCCTCCACACCCCCGGAGACGCGAGGGGAGAAACGGGAAAAGATGATTCAAAAGTAGG